TCCTTATGTTACTTACTTAAAACGATAATTCGGCTTTATAAATATTCCTGATGATCATACATTATTGCTAAAAATAGATTATAACAAATTTCTTTGTTAAATCGTTGACTAACTTTTGGCAAACCTTTCAGCCTAGAGCTTGATAAATTTTATTGGCAAATCAAAAGTTCAACGTGGATAATAATGTTTCAGTATAGCGAAATATATCCTCTGAATGTTGACTCATGAAAGGATTTCATAGAGCTGGGGGTGTTTAATTCTGAAATGATCTCTTAATTAATTTTAACCCGTTTATTAATTGAAAATACGCTGAAAATCTGTAGGCATCTACGGTAAATTGGTAACGTGCTCAAAATCAAAGCAAAAACTGAGATAGTAAAAATATCCATGCTCTTAGCAAATGTCATGATTTACAGAAAAAAAAGGTTCCTAACTTTATTTCAGAATTAATTGATTTAATTTTCATCTATAAATCATATAATCCACATCGATTTCCTGTGAATTTAGTCTAATAGAAATCATGTAATTACCAAAAGAAGTGTAGCCTTTCGTTTCATTCAATGCAATTGTAAATGAATGACAAATGCGAACAAAAAGCTTCAGGTGGTGAATTTTATTAAACGCGATAATCAAACGATCAACCCTAGAATGAACAGAGAAAGTAAGGCAAAGGAATTCTATAGAAATTTGAATACTTTGCTTAACAGCATTTAGCAGATTCCAGAAGAAAATGTAAAAAAAAAAAAAAAGCCAGAATAATTAAATGCAAGAAGGCAGAATGAATTTTTTTTAAACATTACAAATCGTAGATACGAAAATCAAACAAGTACAAACAATTTAACTTTCTGGGGTGTGTTCTAGGAGAGGAGAGAAATTGTGACACTGAAATCCGTAGACGAGGGATAGACGAATTTGCATTCTAAAAGCTAAAGAGAGTATCGTTAGAAACAGAAAAGACTTCGTTACAAACAAAGAAAAAGGTTACTGAATTTGGTACGTGATATCTATCCTCCTATGTGGCAGTGGATGCTGCACAATCTCCTCAAAGATTAATAAGAGACTTGAAGCAACAGAAATGTGGTTATACAGAAGGATGCTAGGGATACCATAGACTGAATATCTGAGCAACAATGAAGGATATTTATACTTAACATCAACAATTGAAATTCCTAGGGCACATAATGAGGAAAAGGGGGCTTGGAAAATGCGATGCTCACAGGACAGATTAAAGGTGAGAGGGGTACAGGAAAACAACGTATAACATACTTATTGAGTAAATGGATGGCTAAACGGTGCTTAGGTGTAATTTTCCAAGCTCTATTTATTTTGCGCCATAGAAATATGAACTGTATTTTACTGATTGTTTCCATTTTATCATTGCTCACATATTCGCTTTAATGTATCCTCAACATCCTTCTGTAGAATAATATTTCCCTTGATTACAGCCTATTCTTCATTTTATGAGGAGATTGTCCAGCATTCACTGCCATATAGAAGGCCTGATATTGCATAACAGTTCAGTACTCTTCTTTGTTTCTTCTGCTTCAAGTCCCCTCGTCATCTATGTGGAGAATGTCCAGCATTCGTTGCCATATAGAAGGATAGATATCACCTAACAGTTCATTACTTTTCCTTTATTACTAAGGAATATTTTTTCCTGTTTCTTAATACTCTTCTTAGCTTTTGAAAGACAGCTTTCTCTACCGCAATGCTTCTTCGGATTCAGTGTCGCAGTTTCCGTTCTGTAAACGCGCAGCTTAATCTATAATAACCCCGTGTATATGCTAGTCTAAGTATATACACTGGAAGTTTATATAGGCCATTGTTAGAGTTAATACGAAGTCATTTGGATTACTTTAAAATAACTTCCATTTTGCATCCTTTCATTATCTGTCTATATTTTTGAGATGACGTATTATGTAAATTATTTATATTATTCGGACTATTGTTTAATAGGATGTCAGTTATCAGTTATCTCCTGTTAATATTCCCTCTGAAAGTTCTCTACTGCCTTCACCGGGTATTGAACTCACACTCTTTGGGTCCTTTCACTGGATCTAACCAACGCGTTTATCCACTGTGCCATGGCACGTGGAAATAGAACAATCTACCCAGTGAGCGAAATAAAGGGTTAAGTTCGACATTCCAGCCACCCGAAGAAGGCCGGAGCGTACAACGGCCGAAACGTTGTAATAAATATAGCGACAAAGATGAGGACAATAGCACATAATGTGCATCCTTTTAACTATCTACTTTCCTTTGTTGGTTATAATTTACTTTAAAAACTGTAACATGTATCTCCAATATGGTCGGATTTTTTTTTCACTTGTCGATACTATACGTCAAGTTGGCTAACATAACTAACTTGATGCAAACGATTTTCAGTGGTGGAATTTGATATGGTGAGTATACCAGCTTACAATCCCGTTTCTTAGTCTCTTCATCTATTAGCTGATCTTGACCAAATAGCATTGTGTATATTCTTTCCCTGATCCTAGTTGATTGCGCCTTTTTCATTTCTTGTTCTCCTTGAGAATTAAGTCGACACTTGTGTGTGGCACTCTCTTACGGAACCGACTGCGCGGCAAAAAGATCGATTGGAAGAGCTCATCACACCTACATTGACCAACATGTAGATCATTCTGACCTGCCGACAGCGATGCCTTACAGATATGGTTGCAAGGAAGGAGTAAAGAGAAGAATTCTCGACGTGATATATATATATATATATATATATATATATATATATGTATATAAATTTTAAAACTTTGTCTTCTCTCTCTAAACTCGACCATGTCTCTTATACCATTCCTCACCACTCTCTATGTCAAATTATATAAGCTTAATACTGCCTGTCAAAAGTGTAAATTTTAAATTCATTTTTCGTTTCACCTTTTGAAAGTGATATCTGAAGATCCAGAGAAAAATAAAATTCTCTCGTGAAATAAATTATAACAAATGAAGCCTTAAAGAGGTCTGTTTTTCTTCAAATTGAATTATTCGCTCTGACTTAACATTGAGCTCTCAGGATTTCATCCTCATTGGGATTATCCATACGGATTACCAAGATTTTCGTTACTCATATATATATATATATATATATATATATATATATATATAGTTTTAGATTCTTATATCCAGATCGCAGTCCGATTGCAATCAGAAATATGAATATTTTTCAAGAGAATAAAATAATCCTTTAATAAGTATCCTCTTAACATTTATGTCATTAACATTATGGCATACCCGCACTGTGGATTAATGGACTTTACCTAGTAAGAAATTGAAGGATTTCTGTTTTTTTTTATTTTAGCGATGAATTTTCTGAAAAGGATTGTCACATTATAATGTAGCTCTCCATTTCCTATGTGTTTCTTATCCTTCATGTTATTTCCCAATTTAATTGTTCTTAAGATTAAGACACTTCTCTCATTAGAAGAGTATTTTCGTTCCCGCTATCTAAAGTCTATGTGTTACCTATATTCGAACAATTACATTTTTTCTTATTTCTTCTTCTTCTTCTTCTTCTTATTATTATTATTATTATAGATTATTTAATCGTGTACAGGTAAAAGTAGAAATAATCGCAAAATCAATAATATTACAGAATATAAAATATTTTTGTACAAGTTTTAACTGACTTTTTGAGATAAATATTCCGTGTTATTCAGGAAAGGTTTGGTATTCGGTAAAAGAATCAGAACGAGTCATTAAGTGCACTGAAGTAATTTGCTCAGCATTTTAAAACAATGCTATAATCGCAGAATTCCGTATTTTTATTCTTTATATACATTGTATTCTTTTCATATGTAAATAGTAGATGTGGTTGTGCTAAAAGGATTTAAAATTTGAAAAATCCCTGATAGCTTTTAATTAAACGTTTATTTTGTATAATGTTGTTATGGAATTCTAATTACGTTTACCTTATATATATATATATATATATATATATATATATATATATATATATATATATATATATACACACACACATACGGAATTTAATATATATATATTAGAATTCCGTATGTATATATATATATATATATATATATATATATATATATATATATTAGAATTTCCGTATGTATATATATATATATATATATATATATATATATATATATATATATATATGTGTGTGTGTGTGTGTGTGTGTGTGTGTGTGTGTGTGTTTGGTAAATGTAATTAGACTTCCATTCAATTATACAAAATAAACACTTAATTAAAAAAACAAAAAGTATTTTTAAAATTTCAAATCGTTTCAGGAATAGCAATTTATTTACAATACGCTCTATCCCTGATAATGACCACTTTAACATATATACATACCTTAAAACAATATGAAGTGGCACTGTCTACAGTTGAGACAATTGAAAGGAATATTAGTAAATGCGTACGGAAGTGGCTTGGTGTTGCAAGGATTCTGTCGCCGGTCGCTTTGTCTGTTTGGGGTGGGGGGCTTCAGTTACCTCTTACTTCTTTGGTGAAGGAGTACAAGGTGGCAAAGATGAGATTGCATTCCATGCTGTGTGAGTCTAGGGATTCTGTAACCCGGAAGAATATGCCAGAGGTGAAGACAGGAAGAAAGTGGAAAGTGTCAGATGTGATGTCAGCAGTGGAAGTGATGTTAAAGCAGGCAGATGTTCAAGGTGTTACAAGGAAAGGTCGTGCTGGACTTGGTCTAGTTGAGAGGGAGAGATTCTGGACATAGGCTAGTGGACAAGAGCAACGCAAGTTACAGAAACTGGGAGTTCGAAAGATCGAAGAGGAGAGACGTTTAGTGCGGACTGTCCAGCAGGCTCAGCAGGGTCGATGGCTTACCTGGGAGAGTTCAGACCAGTTGGTCTGATTGGTGGCGTCTAGGCGCAGGACATTTGAGGTTCCTCATACAGGCAGCATATGATGTGGCAGCATCACCGGCAGATTTGAAGAGATGGGGGTGCAGGAGGTACCCTCCTGACGGTTGTATGGTGCTTATGGAAACCTGCACCACATACTGTCAGCCTGTCCAAAGGCGCTGCAGAATTGCTCGTACACTTTGAGACATAACTTGGTTCTGGAGTTCATGGTAGCAGCTGCAAGAAATGCTAGCATCCCCTCATTGGACCTGCGAAGGGTAGCCTTCCTGAAGCAAGGTGCGACTGTCACAAGGCAGAAGATCAGGTCGGGAAACACAAGGAAGTGGAGAGTGTTGGTGGATGCAACACTGCCAATGGAGGTTATTGCATCTGGTCTGTGACCAGATCTGGTCTTAGTTGATATTGAGAAACAACATCTGTTGCTTGGTGAACTGGCAGTAGCATGGGAAGAAGGGATTGAAGAGGCGCATGAAAGAAAGTTGCTTCGGTATGAGGAACTGGTGGCTGAAGATGTCCGGGATGTCGTCGAAGAAGAGGTTAAATACTGAACCTAGGGTGGTACTGAGGCGTTGTAACGTGGTCCACCTGATATGACTTGCAGAAGTCTCTAAATTCACTTGATGTTAATTGAGTGCCATTATCAGTAACTATACAATCTACGACGCCAAAATGCGCGAATAGCTCGTGTAGAAATCCGATCGTGCAGTTTGTGGTTGGTCTTTTACATTGTAGGACCTCAGGCCATTTTGAGTGGCTATCCCCAACAATGAGGTAGTACATGTTGTCTATAGGCCCTGCAAAATCCACATGAATTCTTTGCCAAGGATGATCTGTTTTGGGCCATAGTTTGCACGTCGTGTGTGGAGCTTTTGCTGCAAGCGCGCACCCTTTGCATGATTCTATCATGCCTGCTATGTCCTTCTAAAATAAGATACCAGCCATGCATGCAAAGTCAAGTCGCTTACCGAATTTAAAAATCTAGGTTCGAATCTCACCATAGTCGATTTGTCATGGAAGTGAATTATTGAAGTTATCGATCTGGAAAGATGAACTCAGCGAAATTTTGAAGGTGCCTGAAGAATCATACTAAGGTTTAAACCAAACATTGTAAATGAAATTGGGTATACGAAACTGTTCGGAAGATGCTGATAGTTGTATTAGCCTGTAGTCGCAAGTCATCGTGACCGATATTTTCAGTATATTGGCATTGTTCAAAATGCTGATCATGACCTATCATGCGCTATCTCCGTAAAACGGTAACTAAAGTGCGCTCAGCATAGTTGTTGCATCCACCACAGGTAAGCTATCTAGGTAGAGAATAAATGCATATGTGCCAGAGTAGGTTCCTGCAACAGGGATTGGCTAATCACCGTACGACACTGTGCTCGGAAAGCAGATAGATGGTCATTATTATAGTCAGGACAGGTTTGTATGTATAGTCACAGGTCAATATGAGTGCTGCTCGTACTTTGTCACCCATTACTAATTGTAGCATTGTCAGCAACTAAATCACTTCAGTCATCAGACATTTATGGTGAAGACTCTGGCTAGACACCAGAAACGTCGTTTTGAGTAAGAAGATAAACTGCATGCGCGTCCTGGGTAAGAGGTTGAATTACATTCAACAGCAGGGACTCTGATCAGGAGGTTTTGAGAAACGTTTAATTGTTGGTGTTCCCTGGTCCAGCATAACCCGCGGTGGTAGCACCGGTTAGGGTCTCAGCTATGGGCAAATAGCTTACCACCAAACTGGGGATGTGTGTCTGTGTTTATATATATATATATATATATATATATATATATATATATATATATATATATATATATATATATATACATTACCAGCAATATATTTAAAAATATAAACTACCTGCAATACATTTAAAAATATATATCACCAGCAATACATATATATATATATATATATATATATATATATATATATATATATATATATATATATATATATATATATAGTTAGTTAGTTAATTAGTTAGTTAGTTAACTAGGTCTTCTCTACTCGTTATATTGAGCACTTTATTTAGTTGTTTTGGATACACGCATCGGTTTTTTTTTCTTTGGGCCTTGAACTCGTATGCTGGACGATTATTTTCGGCTAACGTACATGTTCTTGGTTCTTTCTTTTTTCTTTTGTACCCTTTTTTTCCCCTTTGGTATTGGATTGTTTATTTGCAAATCAATATACCGAAGGTTTTCCGAGCGAGTATAGTTTCTTATACTTATAGGATTTCTATTAAGAATAAGTATATATATATATATATATATATATATATATATATATATATATATATATATATATATATATATTGAACAATAAAATATACTAAAAAATTAAAATCTTCAGGCACACTGGGGTGTAGATTAATATTCTTTCGTTTTTTTTTGTTTTTTTTTATTATTATTATTTCACTAGTTTCGGCCAAAATGGCCATTATCAGAAGAAATATTTCCACTTGCTGGTAGCAGTGAACTACACAAATGAATGTCTTGATGGAGAAAATGAACTTTTGTCTGTAGTTTTCATTTGTTTTGTTTTTTTTCTCGTTTTTTTATTGTTTTGTCTTTATAACATGAATCTTTTAACATTCCTTTTGTTGGTCAAACAGTCTCTTTTAAGTTGTTATTTGAGATAAGAGCTGGATTGATCTATACTGCTCTAGTAATATATATATATATATATATATATATATATAGATAGATAGATAGATAGATAGATAGATAGATATATATATATATATATATATATTACCGGCAATATATTTAAACATATATATATTACTAGCAATAAAAATCTAGTCGACATTAGGTTGATTTTGCCATTGTGTTAGATATGGTATAAAATAAATCAAACCAAACCAAGACAAACACAAGACAGAATAAAGAGTAAAACATTTCAACTCGAAGTTAAACCATATTTTATGCTATCGAGATCCATTTAGCACATGAGCAGAGATATTTAAATAGTTGGGTATTGTGTCCAGTCACGTGATAAGCACACCGATTGTGTTATAGTCTTTCGTTTTCGTTAAGGTACCCAACTAGGAGATGGAAAAATTTCAATGTTAGACCTTCGACGTGACAGCATCCAACGATTTTTCACTGGTTCTTCTTTATATGCACATGTTGTTCTTCCTAAGGGACTAATATTGACACAGTGCAACGTTTTACTCTAATGCAAAAAAAAAGGAAAATCTATTCACATACACTGCCTGATATAATAAAATCTATTTATATCCTGAAATGGCTTGCTGCAGTCGAAATGCAGTTACGACCATTGAAGCTTTGCTAGAGATTATAAGAGTTTTTCCAGGTTAAAATCCCATATCGCACTAAATTACTACAAAGTCTTATAATATGTTGTCATTGCCATACACGGCAACGAGATTGCAGCTATTATATATATATATATATATATATATATATATGTAATGAGAAAAATACTGCAAGGCGTGTGCAGTGGATAATGACACATGAGCGCATGCGAAATGTCTATCTTATTTTGCTATCGGAGAAATTACGCCATGACTCAGTTTAATTGATAGAAATCCTTTTTTTTTCTTACCACTTTTGTGCGATACGCGATATTCAATACTGAATATTACGGCCATTTTCCTTCGATGTTTCAATGAACCGTCAATGTCCTCCGAGTTTTTATGCTTCTTTATTCACCTAATTTTGAAATTAGAGCCATCATTCTGCATTAGAATTAAGAAAAGAGCAAAGCCGGGTCGACGTGTTGAGGAAAGGAATCCCACAAGGGGGAAAGCGGGATTGCCCATCAATGTGAACAACATGTTTCTAATTATTTCTTCTTTCATTCCAAACGCCATTTTTTTTTTCTCTGTATCATTTTCTTAATTTTCTGTCTTCCATTTTGTTTCCATTTTTTTTTATTTATTCGTTCCCAGAGAAACAAGAATCTATTTTTTATTAATGTTATTTATAAAAGTTTCATTTACTCTCTTCTTTCTCCGGGTTTTATGTCTTCTCCGATTCCTTGCGTTTATTATTAACATGTAACTTTTTTTTTTTAATGTTCATTTACGTTGTCACTTTCATATTCCTTTTCTTATTTCTTTCATTTTTTTTTTTTTTTTGCTTTATGTCTCGATTTCATATTTTTAGTCTTCCACCCAAACGCCATTTTGATTTCAATGCAGACGACTTGACATTCTTTCTTCATTTTCATTCTTTTTCCTCTCATTTTTCTTTTTCGATTCTCAACGATTGTCTTTTCTTGCTTTTGTATTTCCATCTATACAGGAAAGATATAAGTATTGGAGATATGTAGCTTACGGGTATAGACAGTGTTATATTCCATACCAATGAACACTAATGGGTATGTCCCAATCCACATAAATACATTAGGCACTATTGTAAGTAGGGGGTAATATGCTGTCTAAGTAGTTCACCACTTGCAGTGGTTTACCTACTTCACGCCGCTGGCGAGTATTGTATTTTATTGATGTTATAAAGATTACCATTTCATTGCTTTTATGATTATTCCTCATTCAGTAACATTTTCTAGGTTACAACAGACAGTATGGAGTTAAAATGAACACTGCATATGGACAGTCAGTGGCGATCGAGTGCGATCTTCAGGCCCATATTAGGGAATTTAAAAAGTAAAATAAGAGAAATAAACATAATGAGTAACGATAAACAAGAAATAGAAAAGCAAGGAAAAGCAAGCAAACGAATGAGCAAGTAAAATTCATGCGGATAAAAAAGAAAGGAAAAGAACAAAAAATAAATTAACGAGTAAACAGAAGACATGAATAGTAAAGAATATCTTGAAACTTTGTAAACAATGAGACTCTGCGAAAGAGGGACGAGAATTAAATAAATTTGTCAATAATTATGGCAAGATTTGGTCGGAAAATCAGATTGAGTCGGAAAACTGAGAGTCACCATACAGTGTTGAGCACTACATCCATACTGTCTCTCTCTCTATATATATATATATATACGTCTATGTATGTATGCAGATTATTTCTTCTCTATAAAAATTTGAACCATATATATCAACTATGGAATCTCTACAAATATTCTTATATGTCTGTAGTTGGTGACGGAGGTCATTGGTTTGCGCCAACGGCTTCCCATACTTCATACTTCTCCAATTCACTCACACGTGGTCATGTGTGACGACATGAGATGCGGTGCGATTTTCGCTTCTAGCGTCTTATATGCACGTGTTTATCGTTGCTTAGAAATCATCTATGTAAACAATCACAGACTGTCATCCCTGTCTTGTCCGTATATTGCTTAATATGTTGTAATTGACATCTTTGATAATGGCTTATGTAAGCCGAAAGCTTAGATTGTATTAAAAAAAAATATGGATCAATATTGTGAATTTCTTTCTTCGTTCAATGATAAGGGTATTAAACTTTTTAGACGTTATGAAAAGATTTTACATAAAATAAATAGACAACACTTGTCTATATTATTTAATGAAACGTGTATGAATGAAAAGATGTTGCCTAAATACACACAATATATATATATATATATATATATATATATATATATATATATATATATAGTTTATTCAAATTTAGGTAATCCGTATGGGTAGACCTGAGGAGGATGATATGCTCAATGTAAAATTCAGAGCAGATATGTTTGAATAAAAAGACAGACCACGTTAAGATTCCATGTAATAAGCTATTTCACCATAACCCCTTTTACAGGGTTCTGGATCATCAGACTTTACTTCAAAAGCTGAAATGAAGAATGAAAAAAGAAATTCACACGTTTTTTTACGGACCTCATCAAGTATACGCAAAGTTATCGGAAGTGAGGAAGTGAGGTGGGGAGAGGATGTGAGTGTGTCATATGTATCATTTAGTTTCCCTATTTTAACCTCAGCGTGTCGGCTGGATGTTGCTCTAATCTAACGCGTCTCGTCTCACTTCCTCACTTCGTTAACTTTGCGTATACTTGATGAGGTCCGTAAAAAACCTGTGAATTTTTTTTTTTTCATTCTTCATTTCAGCTTTTGGAAGTAAAGTCTGATGATCCAGAAACCTGTTAAAGGGTTATGGTGAAATAGCTTATTACATGGAATCTTAACGTGGTCTGTCTTTTATTCAAACATATATATATATATATATATATATATATATATATATATATATATATATATATATACACAGACTAGAGAGATGATGATGATGATGATGATGATGATTGACTTGCCGTCCTGCTCGACGCCTGAGGGTTCAACAGGACTGTTCTTAGCAATGAACAGCCAGACTCCCCAGTATATATGATTTGGTGATAGTTTTGATGAACCAGTGAAACTTTTCGATAGAATTGAATACAGAGAACCGATTCACAAGATGTGCGATATGGTACCCAACCAGACCTACTCAAATTCTGAATTAGATTTGCCTTTCTATTAGATCGTTCGCAAACTGATTCTTACCTTCTATTTCCTTGCTATTAAAAGAAGAAATATAATTTTAATGCGTGCTATATTTACAGGATAAAATGCTCAATATCTGAGATAGAGCGTATAGTAAATATAAATATAGAAGGAACACTGAAAAACAACACTGAGAGGCGACAGGCTGTTTCATGCTAGACGCAATCGGCAGACCGCCGGACGATTTGCGTCTAGCATGAAACAACTTCTGAATCATATATATATATATATATATATATATATATATATATATATATATATATTGTATGATCTACATCGTATTGAGCACTGTTTATTACCAGCTTCAAAATAGTTTAATCTAACCAACTGTCACTATATATATATATATATATATATATATATATATATATATATATAGTATGGATAATTCCAAAGAGGATGTACATCAGAGAGCAGTTTATTCATATATATATATATATATATATATATATATATATATATATATATATATATATATATATATATATATATATAGTATCGTATTATAACATTTTCGTTTATATATTACTCCTCTCCTTCATTCGCATATAGAATTATAGCAAAAAACATTTATTAATTTAATCAATATTTGTATTTACTTAGTTGTATTTAATTTATTTATATTGTTTTTATTAATTTTGTTTTTTTTTACGAATTTGTCATTAATTTGACTAGAATCTATCTCTCTCTCTCTCTCTTTACACACACACACACACACACACACACACACACACACACACACACACATATATATATATATATATATATATATATATATATATATATATATATATATATATATAGTATGAATATTTCCAAAGAGGATGTACATCAGACAGCTGTTTATTCATATATATATATATATATATATATATGATTAAATATTTTCACATCTCCCCTGTCTTTTAAACAGGAGTAGAGACTTATCTCTTGCTTCCTGTTTAGAGTTGTGCTTCGGTTAATTTTGAAGTGTTCTCATTCATTTCTTTAATGAGGTTATCACCTTGTATGTGATGAAATATTTATATTTATATATATATATATATATATATATATATATATATATATATATATATATATACCATAGGTGTTCCTACAAATAATACTAACTAAATACGTAAAAAGTACTTCTTTCAAAATAGAAAAATTGCTACATCTGATATTTATTTTCTTGTATATTATTTCGTGAGCTGTTTGTAATATCCGACAATACACGGGAAACATCGTATAAGTTAAAAGAGCCACATAATTTCAACATGTTCGAATTTTCAGAAATACGTCTTCCAATTCTTCTACATGAACGTGTGATGCATGTGTGTGTTTCTATCCGTGCTTACGTCTTCCTCTTTGTTACCTGACGTGCCTTTCGTTTCATTGGGCGGGGAAATTTTTACTTTAGTTTGATGAATAATTTCAAAATGTCTTCCTCCCTACCATCATCCTTCTTCTCGTTTCTTTCTGTCTTTTTATTTATTTATTTTTTATTTTTTTATGTCGTTTCTTCTTTTTTTTTTCTTTTTTTTTGCCTTCCTTACATTCCAGAATAATCGATATATTCTTTACGCCGATACAGTCCCGCCCTACTTTTGATTTTCTGATATTTTACCCCCATTCGACCACCAGACACACCCCTATTCTAACACAACTAGCATCTTCACGCTTTCTTTTTTAAATTCCTTTTCTTTTCAGTTTTCTTATTTTTGTGATCGTTATTTAATTAACTTCTTTAATTTCTTCCAGTTGCATCTTATTTTTCACATCTTTTTTTTATTCTCCACTATCTACATCATGCATTCCAATAACCGCCATTTCATACAGCTATGCGTTATACCAACACGCGCATGTGCATTTACAAACATATGCTTGTAGATCAAGTCGTTTAAATATTTAATTCTTAAGCTACTTGAAGCCACTATAAATAAACACACCGACAAAAGAAATTAATCTTTAGGATTTTTTTCTGAAACACCATCAAATTATGATCGTATCACTCATATCTGGAAGCTACCTAGCTAGCTAGATAGATAATGTCGAAAATGAATTCGACTGAAAAGACCGGCGTGGAGAAGTTGGTGAATGACTTGGTTTTAAAAGAAAACATCCTCCGTTTGCAAACCTCTCCGCTAGTGTCAGGTAACCACAGAGTTAGCAGACAGGAACAATAATAAAAGCTAAAACAACCCTCGAGTATGAGGTCCAGGGATTTTTATAACATGCATCTGTCCTCACCTCTTCCGCCAATCCAAATGGAAAGCTACTAAAGTGGAGGAGAATGAGGATTTCGCTCCTGAGGACTCTGCGATCGACATCGCCGCTCCACTCACGTAAGTCTATTCATTATTTCCGACAATAGATAGATAGATAGATAGATAGATAGATAGATAGATAGATAGATAGATAGATAGTGTTGTAACCTAGGAAGGGTTACTGAATGAGGAATAACCAAAACGCAGCTTGGAAATGAAATGGTAATCTTTATATTATCAAAGAAATTCAATACTCGCCAGCGACGTGAAGTAGGTAAACCACTGCTAGTGGTAGACTACTTAGACAGCATATTACTCCCCCACTTACAATAGTGTCCAACGTATTTATGAGGATTGGGACATGCACATTACTGTTCATAGTTACGGTATATAATAGGTAGATAGATAGATAGATAGATAGATAGATAGATAGATAGAAACTGCGTGGTTATAGAAATCCAAATTAAATGGTAACTGTTACTTTCACGCCTATCCTCAGACCATTTTTTTACGTAAAATAAAGATGATAGATTAAGACATGAAATTTCCACTCAATATAAAATATTAATTTCTATGCCACAATTTGCATCTACACATATTATATCCGCGATGCTAGGGACTTTCCTCAAATTATATATATATATATTTAACCAACGTTTCCGTTTTTATATTACTCCTCTCCTTCATACGCATATAGAATTATAGCAAAAAACATCTATTAATTTAATCAATATTTGTATTTACTTAGTTGTATTTAATTTATTTATATTGTTTTTATTAATTCGTATTTCTTTTTACGAATTTGTCATTAATTTGACTAGAATCTATCTCGCTCTCTCTCTTTTACATAAACATATATATATATATATATATATATATATATATATATATATATATATATATATATATATATATATATATATTCATCTACATACAAGGCTGTTTCACTGTATCAGAGCTCATCAGTGTGGATAGACATCCGATTGCTTCAAGCCAGGATCGAAACCCAACCGATTTGTCATCAGTTAGAGAACCTACCCGTAAGCTATCAGCGCACGGCAGAGAAAGGGGAAATTCTAACGTATTATATACGAATGTATACAAAGGCCATGTAATAGGAATTTAAAATTATCTCATAGTTATGATCATTTCACCTTACGAATTAAGATTTACTCACAAGGATTTTGAAACCGATCATGGTAATAAGATAATTACAATGAAAAGAAACCAGACCTAAATTAAATTTTAAAACAAGGCAGAAGAAAATAAGGGAAGAAAACCAGAAAAAAGAAAAAAAAGTAAATATATGGTAAAAAGGCAGAATAGGAAAACGAAAAAAGGGAGAAAGAAGGTGGTAAAGAAAGAGTAGTAACGTCTAGACATAGGGATGGTAGCAGGAGTTATATACATGTAGACTTATATTAGAATATTCAACTCAGTTTCTATCAGGAAAATAGACACAGGAAATTAAGGAAGATCTTTTATCTTATATTAACAAATTCCCTGTTACTTCAATATTGAGAGATATATTTATATATTAATATTAAAAAAGAAAAATATATCAAATTATTTCAAAATTATTTATATCTTAAAACATATATTGTTTTAATTTTGTACCTTTTGGGAAGAGTATTATTTAATATTATTTATTTTATATTAAAAAGAACATATATTAGCATATATTAATAAATCTATTACCATTAATAAGAAAATAAAAATAAAATCGGGGTAGATTTTTTATTTTATATTAGAAAGAACCATAATAGAGGAATAGTAAATGAAAAGAAAGAATTACGAAGAAAATCCATTTTTTTTCTTTTTAATACCTTGATCGGTTTGAAAATCCTTGCGAGTAAATCTTAAGTCGTAAGGTGAAATGATCATAACTATGAGGTCATTTTAAATTCCTATTGTATGTAATTTATATGCTGTGTTAGAAGAAATATATTGATATCTCTTTGTGGATCAGTTTTAAATTTTATATTCTTAGGATTCACTTGGATTATATACCAACAGATTATATATATATATATATAGAGAGAGAGAGAGTTTTTTTTTTATTTTATGTTTATACATTCTTTTTATAGATACAAATATTTAAGTAAATGCTCTGTTTATAATAAACAGTATTAAACAACATTTACCGGCCTGAATGCCCGAGAAATTTTCATAGAAAATATGTGTCCTCCGACAGGATTCGAACCTGTATGGAACCGTCATTTAGCTTGACGTGCCTTTACCGATTTAGCCACTGAGGAGCGTTTCGGTTAGCAAAGTCGTTTTTACCGTTTTTAATCTACAATTCTCCATGATTTTCTCTCTTTGTCCATTTTATAATATGTGGCGTCATTTGTTTACATTTGGATACGCATCGAACAGATATGAAATATAAATGTTGTTAATACTGTTTATTATATATGTTTATTTATTATATGTGTATCAACATAAACAAAAAATGCCTTAAAATATTTGTCGGATATTGTCCATTTCATAATGTGTGATATATATATATATATATATATATATATATATATATATATATATATATATATATATATATAGTGCGAGTATGATAGAAACTCAAGTACCTTAGTGAATGATATGTTTGCGATGATCTAGTTCGGTAGACGTTAATTTTTCACCTAAAATCACATTGAACGCTACTCAAACGTATTTTTACTAGAAAAATGTGTTAGATCCGGGTTATTGTGCTTTACTATGATGTAAGCCAAAAAACGGTGATGTTTGGCCTGGTTAAAAGCTGGTTTCCCTAGATAATGCAAAACATCAGGTCCCTTGGTTCCAGACGAGCGGGTTTCAGTATTTTAAAAACGGCTCATATTTATTCACGCCCAACGATCTATAATTCTTACAGAGAATGGATAGAATAAAAGAACAAAATCCACTGTTAATGAATGAGTTCAGGGGAGAATGGCTAGACTGGTTTCATTTGATAGGATGTCAGCAGGACCTGAAATATTTACAATTTACAAAGTAGGTATCGAGAAGAGCATCGCTGAACGCACAACACGCCAAGCCTTGAAGCACGCAGGCTACAGCAGAGGAAGACTATACTCGGTACCATTCCTGTCAGATATAAAAGTTTGGCAAACAATTCGCTGAGGATCATGAAAATTAGACAATAGAAAAACATTGACTGTCCTTTTGAGTTTCGATTTATGCTGCGCCACTCGCATGATAAGGACAGAAATTAGCTTAACGACATGAAAGTCTAGACCCATCCTGTTTTGTGTCAACTGTTCAGGCTGATGGTGTTATAATGGTATGATAAAACTTATCCTGTCATGCATATATTTGGTAAGGATAAATGATTTTTTGGTCACAATCCTCAACTTACGGTTACTCTAAACTCATCATCTAGAGGACACTTCCAGGAGGATAACACACGAAATCCCAAATTAAAAATGGAGCAGATGAGTTCAGATTAAGTATTTGTTAAGGCATGACAGTGCAATATTCTTCAAGGTTTTTGGTGCAGCTCTTTTTCTCTTGTTGAAGAGTTTTCTCAGTAAGGGAATATGACTGAAATGCTTGTGTAGTAATCTGATAAAGAGTCTACCAATGTTAGTCCTAACGTTACTATTTGATAGTGGTTTAAACTAAATAATGTTGCGTTTTCTATTCTTAGATTTACGTATGTTATTGGTACTAGTGTTGAGAATATACTTTAGGTCGATGTTCTGCTTAATTTTATGTGATGTATCTGCATATTTGGTTTTGTATGTCTCGAAGATGTGTTCATTGCTAGAGTTGATGGAGAGTTTATATTGTACATATTTGTGGAGATTGTTGAGTATGTAATGAGGATGGTTGGATTCCTTACTAATATATGCATGATTGTAAAGTTCCTTATTATAAGGCATGTACACTCTCCTGGATAGGCTCGAACGTGGTGTCTAGGAAATTTACAGCCTTGTCATTGGTGACGGTGGTGATGTTAAGTCCGTGACCCTTTGAAAATGGTTTTAGCTGTTTCCTAAGCCTGTCGGTTTTTTGTGGGTTGGAGATGCGTAGAAGGATCACCCCGTTGTCCCTGTACTGACCGGTGTTCTCACTATCGAAAATATATCTGAGCCTCGATATAAGCAATACGCCGACTAGTTCTCATGATTCTGCGGAGTCAAACGCGCCCATCGCTAGAGAGAAGTGGGCGTTGTCTTTATTGGTCCATAAAGCACCATCATGGTATAGAATAGGCATTTGGGCTTGTAAAATTATTCTGATATCCTCGTCCGTGATGGTGCAATACTTCTAAGCTAGTTCAATAGCGGCCATTAATAGGTTTCAGTGATCTATGTGTAAAAGTTGGTTATGCATAAAGGTGAACTTGTTTTTATTTTTAATATTAGTGAACCATCTTATAGCATCTTTGATATTTCTCCACTGGTTGACCCCTGTTGCATTCCTGGTGTAATTAAATGCTCGTTTAATTTTGTTCTTGCAGGTGTTAAACAAACGGATCTGTTGGTTGTTGGGGTAAATCGCTCTTATTGTCCTTAACTGTAATAAAAGCCTGTGGTTTATGGAGTCTGTGCACTCTATCAACGATCTTAAGTTTCTTGGCTACTGTTCTTGTCTCGTTGTTGATATCATTTTCCCATTCTTTAAGGGTGCCATATTATATACTTTGTGGACATCCTTACGAATGGCTTTGTGATAGTCGGCAACGTTATAGAAATAGTGTTTGGCTGTTGTTATCGGATGTGATGATTATTTTGTCGGTGTTACGAATGTTGGCAATGTCTTATACATTTTCATTTGGAGGCTGTTGTATTTGTCAACGTATTCAATTTAACTATTATAAAGAAAAAGTTCGAATTCGAGAAGTTCGTCGCGAGGTGCTGTTTTCAGGGGCATAATCAGAGTCTTTTGTTTCACGTTGATCTGGGTGTTCTCTTTTGGCGAAAAATCTTTTCATATATATATATATATATATATATATATTAAAGACATTTTTTTATGTTCAATATTATATTACAGTGAATCATTCATATATATATATATATATATATATATATATATATATATTAAGAATTGGACAAAGTCCGACAATTTATTAAATTTTTTTATATGTTTAACATTCTTTTTATAGATACATAGAAAATATTCGTCCTTTGAAAATTTCTCGGACATTCAGGCCGGTAAAAGTTATTTAATACTGTTTATTATAAACAGAGCATTTACTTAAATATTTGTATCTATGAAAAGAATGTTAAACATTAAAAAAAAATGTCTTTAATAAATTGTCGGACTTTGTCCAATTCTTAATGTATGACGTCATTTGTTTACATTTGATACGCCATGAGCAGTTATGAATGTACGAGATTCATGGAAGATTGAAGTTTATAAGCAGTAAATTCGACCTTGCCTACCAAACGCGTCGGTTAAGGCACGTCAGCGTAAATGACGGTTCCGTATAGGATGCAGGTTCGAATCCTGTCAAAGGACGAATATTTTCTATGAAAATTTCTCGGACATTCAGGCCGGTAAATGTTATTTAATACTGTTTATTATAAACAGAGCATTTACTTAAATACTTGTATCTATAAAAAGAATGTTAAACATATAAAAAAAATGTCTTTAATAAATTGTCGGACTTTGTCAATTCTTAATGTATATATATATATATATATATATATATATATATATATATATATATATATGTATGAATGATTCACTGTAATATATATATATATATATATATGTATGAATGATTCACTGTAATATATATATATATATATATATATATATATATATATATATATATATATATATATTACAGTGAATCATTCATACAAAAGATTAGTAAAGTTAATGAAATAAAATGGCGAAAACTGCGTTTTTTGCATGAATGATTCATTGTAATATAAATTGAACTGCACCACATATATACACACACTTTTCACACACACATAAAACACACACACACGCAGATATCTATCTATCTATCTATCTATCTATATATATATATATATATATATATATATATATATATATATATATAGATAGATAAGAACGAATAGAGTACAATTTCAATGTTCGTAACATTTAATTTAAAAGAGGGCTAGGAAAAATGTAGAGTATTATTCTTATTTTGGGATATTACATTGGAATCATGCCAAATTCGCTACACAATTGCAGTCATTTTTCGATGAGCATACAGGGGATTTTAATTTAATCTAATTTACAATCGCCTCATGAGATGCGTTGTATGCGTATTGAAACACAACTGCAATTGTGTAGTGATTTTGACATGATTTCGATGTAATATCCCAAAATAAAAAAGCACACACGCATACACATACACACACCACACACACACACACACACACACACACACACATATATATATAT